ACTGGTAAGTTGCCAAATATAATAACTTTCTTAAATTCTAATAAAGCAACAATAATAATGATTCAACGCCACCACCATTAAAGCTAGAGGAACAAGACTTCAATGACAATGATTCGATCAAAAATGGCCAAACAAACGAGCCTGAATTTTGGTCTAATAATAATCCTGATTGTAATATACTAGAAAATCATCAAACAAATGAAGCAGAACCGACGGACAATTTTTATTGGGAAAACATTGGTAATGAACATATAATTGATGATTTTGATCTTGATGATGATGAATTAGAATGTCGCAGGTTTTCGATATTAAAACTTGCAGAAAAGACCGAGAACTTACATTTAGCAAATGAGAACAAACAAAATCAGCAAACTAAAGACTTATCAAAAGAAAATCATTTTAACGAAGATTTTGGATTTCATGAAAGTAATATTAATGACACAAAAAATGGTAATGTTCGATTATATTATAAGATTAGAAAAGGATTTGAAATATTGATATTGGATGATTATGATGTATGTGTATATTAACATTAATAATTTGATTGATTGATTAGACGAATGTCTTAAAAGTGAACCAGGGGAAAGGAAATTATCAATCGACGATTCATACAATCAAAAAATGCTTAAATCTTTTACTTCTGGGCCTGATAATCCAATTCAAATGGATTACGAACCAATCGAAAGAAAACTTTGTGAATTACCTGAAATATTAAAAAATAGACCATTGACGCCAATAATAGTTAATGTAATTAAAACTTTAATATTGTTGACAAATTGGGTTTGCAAATGCAAATAATTACTCTAATTAATTTAACATTTATTATTTCTTTAGGTTAATATAGACGAAATAAAAGCATTTAGCGCAAATTTTGATATTGGTCTATTAATGTGGATTATTATTAAAGATGATACCGCAAGTCAAGATGTAATAATATCAGAAAATGTATGATTTAATGATGCCTTTTTTTTTTAAAAAAAAGATTTTTATCTATAATTAATCAACTATAATATTTTTTAGATCCTTGAATCACTTTTTGAAATGGATGCTCAAGAATTTCGAAGAATTATTGCAGAGGGTGAAACCAGTCGTATTGTAAGTTTCATTATTATTGTTGCTTTATTAGAATTTAAGAAAGTTATTATATTTGGCAACTTACCAGTTTTAAAATGTTGCTTAGAATTTATACAAAAAAATATTGATTCCAATAAAAAAAATACTTTTATCAATGAAGAGATTTTGGTTGTTATTGAGTTTAGAGGAATCTACAGATTTGGATTTATTTGATTATTTTGAAGTATACAAATTACCAAAAGTTACAAAAATTATAAAATGCATTGAATGATTTTATTATTTTAATTGTGTAAATAAATAGCTGAATTAAAATCTTTATATAATGTAATGTATTTTTGCTTCTCAAAATTTATCAAATTAAAAATTCATTAGGCCCAAAAGATATTTGAGAGATATATCAAGGAACTTTAAGTATGGACGTATTCCCTTTAATTCAAGATTCTTCTTTAAACTATTCTGGGAAATAAGGTGAAATCACTTCACCTAGGAAGATTTTCCAATTGAAGGTATAAAAACTTAAAGATTCATATCAGCCAATTTGGTTTTTGGTCCTTATATCTTATTGTGTCTCGACGTTAAACACGAGTATTTTTAATGTGTAACTGGTCGGTACAATATAACCCTTGTTTCAACGGATTATAATTAAATTCGC